GCCCATCGCCCACTCTCTTTCTTCTTCTCTTTTCCTTCCTATTACAATTATTATTATCTTACAGTTATATTAAGCGTAAGAGATGGAATAAACGGTAAGAAGAGGAGAGAGAGGATCGCGACACTTTGGTGTTAATCTTTCGGCTCGAAACCTTAAACAGCGGGGCCTCGTTTGCAGAAAAACAAAGGAGGGAAGGAAAGGTGTTTCTTTGCGGTGCGGTGCTCCAGTTCCCTCCCTCCTTTGCCCTTTTCGAAAAGCCGTTTATTTGTTTATCTTGCCGGATATGGGATTGCTTCAACTATAACCGCTAAGACGAGAACCTTTACATCCGTTACAACAATTACGTTTATCCTCTCTCTCTCTCTCTCTCTCTCTCTCTCTCTCTCTCTCTTGGTTTCCTATTTCCGACGTATCGTAATTGCTCAATTGCTCGAGCACACGGTGGTGTCGATACAATTGAGAATCCTTCAGATTTCGTTTTATCTTGGAACCTTTCGGTTCTCTCTGTGTGTGTGTTGTAATAAAAAACAGAGAGAAGCGGAGAAGAAACGGGGAGCGAACGTAGCGTTGTATCGAGCTAACCTAATAACCATCTCTCATCCACAGCTGCGTGCGGAGGCTAGAAAATTAACTCGAAAATCCTCTCGACTTAATACCCCATTACGGCCTCGATGTGAATATAGTGGGGCACCGCTCACGACCTCCGACCTTTCGACGACTGATTTATTACCGTTTCGTTTCTTCACGCATTTCTCTCCCTCCCTGCCCCTTTCTCGCGTATACATCTCTTGGAATTCTCGGTGGAATGTTCGGCTGGATGAAACGTCTCAACTAGATCGCAAAGAAAAATCCTCCTTGCCAACTATTTTTCCGGACGAACGACTTATCGGTATTGTCCCTCCGGATGGAAACTATCCTTTACGAGTAACGACGATCGTCCAATTTCGTCGTCGAAGGTTTCTTAAACGTTACCACTTGCCGCTGCTCGCGGCTTATCTAACCGTTGCGTAACAATAGTATTCGTATTCGCGCCAGTAACGACTAGTTCCGACGTTAAAGTCGAAGCTGTAAGAAACTGGTTCGATCGAAGGATTATATGTATGTATATGTATTTGGGAAGGATGTTATATTTATGCACACATATTCTCGATCAAGTTGCAACTATTTATAAATATAAATAAATACATAGGTCGAGGGGGGTGATGGCGTTTAACCGTAGACCGGTTGGAACTCGAGAAGGAAAATGTAAGGACGAGAGCGTGCGCTAGTCTAG